AATATTATTTCGAATACAGTTTAGAATATACACAACTATAAATTAAGGCCGCATTTAGGTTCGCTTTAACTTTATCCTTCCTGTCATGGTTGTTTTACTATATTTTTTCTGATGTATTAAAAATTGCTAAAAAAAACATTTAAAAATGATGTTGCAAATGTGGTACATTAAATATCTAATAGTGAATAATTAATGCCTTTGGAAATCATAGTTCCATGAGTGATATTATAAAACTGCTAGAAATATGAACTTATCTTTTCAAATAATGATGACAATGATGCAAGCTAAAAACTGATAACAATATAGCCTTTTTATAGAGCCTGTAAATACAAATAAATAGACACATCTAGTAACATGGATTTTTCCATATACCCTACCACTTTGAGTACTGTAAGATCATTTATTTTCACTGACATTTAATTTCACTATTTTGATGCGAAATTAAAACCCAGTGAATACTGTGATTGATGCATTTACAGTATATGATTGACAGGTTGCTATCTCAGTCTTTTATCGCTGATATTTCAGCAATTTTTAAAATGAACAAGCCGCCAGATGGGTTGTTTTGCTGGTCCCTAGCGGCAGGGTAGTTTGCACTACAGCGTAGTTTGAGATGCAGTTTCTTTTTACTGTTAACCTGGATAGGAATGGTTGGAATTGATTGAATTCCATGCATCAGCTAAATCGGGATATGCTTGTTATTGCAAGAGTATCATATAAACCTGGCTTTCAACTATGACCCTGTCGTTTTATTTAGGCATGTATTAAAGATTACCATCTCCCTTGATGTTTTCTATACTTTATGATATAACTAAGAACACTGTATCAATATTAATTATTTATAAGCAAAGTAGGGAATAAGTAATTACTAGTATAATCTAACACTCCTGTTTCCAAGAAATGTTGTGCTCCAAAAACCTTTTAAGCATGGGCTTACCTCTTGAAACAATAGTGGCTATTGATGTGCAAAGTAGGTATGCATTGAAAATTATGACATTCATATGCAAATTAGTCATCATGCTGGAAAATAAAGTTGGGAAGAGCACTATAGTAAGTACCGGTAGGTAGTAGACATATTTCAGAAACTGATAACATCTATTAAAAAGAATAATTATGTGGTACTTTTACAATAAGAAATTGTGATAAATTTCCAATCTACATTAATTATTCAAAACATTTTTTATTATGCATAGGGGGTTCATAAAACAAATTTAATTATCATTTTAGAATTTTATGTATTTGTCATTTAAGCTAAACCTCTCAAATTTTCACAAAATTGCAATACTTTTTTTTATTTTTTTCAATCATTAATGTGTCATAATATGTAATATATTGGTCGTAAATTGTGTTCAAGTCTGTTGCTGTCACTGAATATATTCATCCTAATGCATATATACATTTATGTGCGTGTGTGTATTCAATTTGTGTGTACTTTGTGAGAGAATTAATACATACATGTATGCTATGTATTCCTGAATACATTTTGTATCTTGTATGTTTCTGATACAGCAATGAATACAATCAGTTCATATTCCTATGTTTAAAAGTAGTTTCATATCAGGTTTGAACTCAAGAGTTGAGAGGGCACCCATTTTGAAGACCACAATTGATAAAATTGCCTTGGCACTTGGGAATATCAAAAGACACACCAAGGCAAATTCACAAGGCATCAAAGCAATTGATGCATCTGTGAAGTTCATGCCCTGCCATAAACAACGATAAGTGGTGGATAATACTTTTATTTTGTGAGACATTGAGATTCAGCATTGAACTACACATACTTCTTCAAGGTCATCATACTGGTAGTTACAATCTGAGATCAATGCTATAACTTTATTGAAGTCTTAGGTCTATTCTTTGATGTTCTCAACTTGCTTGATTTGTGTGATGGTATTTGAAGAATTTTTCCAAAATACTGTGAACCACAAAAGCATTTAGAAAATGAAATTCCAACAATCAAATGATCAGCCAAATTCGATCAACAAAATTTTGTCCCTCTGAAAATCATTGAAATTTGGATATTTAGTACATACACTTATTTACTATGACTTATGTAAATGCAGAGGATTAAATAATTTACAAGACAAATTGAAAATTTTAAGATGAAGAGTAGCAGCAACTTTTATGAAATGTTATCCTCATGAATATTTTTTAAATTTATCAATCACAAAAAAAAGTATATTACCGGTATATATTATTTACATCAT